AAGCAAACCAAGTATTAGGACAGCTAGCTCCCCTCTTACAGCATAAGACAATCCCAATCAGCATAAAGAGACATCTTTTTCAAAGCATATTTATTCCAACTCTGTGCTACCAGTGCCAGACATGATCACTCACAACAAACCGAAAGGCTAAAAAGGGAAAGTACTCTGTTTGATCCTCCCAATTCTCTTTAATTTTTTTCACTTTATAATTAAGAAATTTTTATTGTTGCTATTAAGGAGCAATAAATGTTAGGAAAAAAAAACTGTTGTCCAGACCAGCTTGTCACAGAGTTGCATGTATTTATGTTTTTCTTGTGTGTGAAACTCCAATGATGTGTGAGTTGAATGTTTTTATGTTGTCTTGTCTGTGAGACTCTAAAAATGTGTGAATTGCATGTTTTTATGTTGTCTTATGTGTGAGACTCTAGATATGTGTGAGTTTTACATTTGTGTGGTCTTGTGTGTGAGATTCTAGGTATATATGTGCTGTATGTTTTCATATTATCTTGTGTGTTGACTCTATACATATGTGTGTTGTACATTTTACTGTTGTCTTGTGAGTTGTGGAATGTTTGTGATTGCATGTATGTGATGGCACATGTGTGATGGTATGTGTGTGATGGCATATGTGTGATGATGGCACGTATGGGACATTTATTTGCATGACAAGGATGATTATGACGGGGCGGAAGGGGGGGGGATGTGTGTCTTGCATGAGGTTGTTTTGTACCTGGAATATTATTATTAAAATGTTTTTGCATTGTCTTAAATTTGTCTTAAAACAGGGGATGTGTTTTGTGAGCTGCATTGTCTTAAATTTGTCTTAAAACAGGGGATGTGTTTTGTGAGCTGCATTGTCTTAAATTTGTCTTAAAACAGGGGATGTGTTTTGTGAGCTGCATTGTCTTAAATTTGTCTTAAAACAGGGAATGTGTTTTGTGAGCTGCATTGTCATATATTTGTCTTACAACAGGGGATGTGTTTTGTGAGCTGCATTGTCTTAAATATGTCTTAAAACAGGGGATGTGTTTTGTGAGCTGCATTGTCCTAAATTTGTCTTAAAACAGGGTATGTGTTTTGTGAGCTGCATTGTCTTAAATTTGTCTTAAAGCAGGGGATGTGTTTTGTGAGCTGCATTGTCTTTTAAAACATGATGTGTTCTATTTATGGTTGTCTTGTATTTGAAGCTGACGTGTGGTATGATTTCAGCTGATCCTGTATTCCTGGTATTCCACACCTACCGACAAATTGACGAGGCACTTCAATGAACAGCGAGAGTGGTCTGTTGGTGCCAAGCTAGATGTGAGTTGTTAGCAACTGAGTACCTGTCTTCATTGTCCTTCTGTGGCTTGCCTAAGAATATCATCTAGCTAACAGTATTTACAGGATCTCAATCTCTCAGATCTAACAGCCTGCATTTTCATCTTTGTTTGTGTTACAGCAACAAATGAATAGTAGCCATATTTCTAGTCTGTTACCCTGTTAAGAATGGCAGTCATGTTTCTAGTCTTCCACATTAGTTGCATTATATAACGATTGTTAGCCACATGTTTAATCTCCCACTCTTTCTCAGGATATACATAATTGTAGCCACATTTCTAGTCCCCCACTTCATCACAGGATATAAGAAATAGTAGCCACATTTCTAGTCCCCCACTCCATCACAGGATATAAGGAATGGTAGCCACATTTCTAGTCCCCCACTCCATCACAGGATATAAGGAATGGTAGCCACATTTCTAGTTCCCCACTCCATCACAGGATATAAGGAATCGAAGCCACATTTCTAGTCCCCCACTCCATCACAAGATTTTAGGTAAAGTCACTTTTCTAGTTCCTTACTCCATCACTAGATATAAGGAATTGTAGCTACATTTCTAGTCTCCCACTCCATCACAATATATAAGGAATGGTAGCCACATTTCTAGTTGTCCCCACTCCATCACAAGATAAAAATTATGGTCACTTTTTTAGTCTCCTACTCTATCACAAGATATAAGGAATGGTAGCCTTATTTCTAGTCCCCCAAGATTTAAAGAATGGTAGCCACATTTAGTCCCCCACTCCATCACAGGATACCACTGGCATTGTTACCACTAGGGAACTGGTCCAACTAGTTGCTTGCTTGCTGGCCTGAAGGTCATGGCCATGGATCTGCAGCAAGCAGATTGTTAAAATTGATATAGATGGACTCGCAGGTCAATGCATCCTAAACTAGTACCAGGTGCAATGCACATGTTTGGATGGCTCAGTACATGCAGTCTTTTCTAGCTACACTGACAAACTACATTCAACCCCATTAGGGACCAAACCATTGGTAGCTGAACGGTTTATTCATCCACATAGAATTCTTTGTCAATGATCACTGGAGGTCAAAATGTCTAGAGATGCAGTAATCAAGCTTCAATTAAATAATACAAGTCATTTGTAATTACCCTGTTCAAGTACACTCTCACAGTCAAACTCTCAAAAACCTCGCTCAGTATACTTGAGTAAAACGCTTGCATGTCATTAGAAGACCAGATAAAAGACATCAGAGGCAATCTCCATCTTGTAACCAAAGTGGTGTAGCCAGGATTCATTGCTGTTGTTGGCTTCTTTTACATTCACTCACATAAATTTACACAGGTATTCAGACCTCATTTCTCCAAGCACTGTAAGAGCAGTAGTAAAGTCTCTTGCGATCTGTGCTTCTTATAATCTATCATAGCTTCTCGTGAACTCAGAAATATATCTCACACATCACATTTTTCGTTCAGTTTCACACTCCCTAGTATACTGCTACCAAACTCTTGCATTATCACAGGGATAATTCAAATCTACCTCCCTATGACCTTCGACCTCTTTGCTCTGCTTTTGCACATAAGTTATGACAGTAGTCAGCGTCTCAGTTTTCTCCTTTTTAATGGGAAAATAGATCATCACACCAAGCAATATCCTGGGAAGTAAAGGAGATTGATGGATAAAAGCAATATCCGAGGCCGCAAATACCAGCAACTGCGCAGCTCAAACATGATGCCTTTTCAAAACCTGATCCTGAAAGATAGAAAAGGACTAGAAAAGAAGGCACTACTGGACTGTAACACAAAACTACACCAGCCTTAGAGTCAAGTTTAGTGCTGTCCTCTTCAATGAATTAGGGATCTATGTCCCTGTTGAATGCAATGCTTTGTTTGACATACCTTCAGTGGAAACTATGACCATGCTGAAGTCGGTACCAGCAGGTTTGGCAGCAGATTTCCCTTAGCACTGTTGACTGTGGCCAACAGCACAGCATAGTTTTATATATGTATATAGCCCTATATGGGCTTTTAACTTATATATATACATACATATATATAAGCCTTAAGGCGTATTGGGAATATAGTGCTAGGCATATTTTATAGACCACTTGGCACTCAGTGGGTGATGTGTTGTTAACATCATGCCGGCTGCATTTACTTCCCAAGACTTTACCTTGTGCACCTTTAAGGCTGGCTGGGAGCTAAGATCATTTTGGGAAAAAGTCCAGCTGTCAGAACCTGACCCCCATGACCTTCAGATCAGCAGGTGAACGTCTGACAGCTATACCACAGCGGCTTCTAGCTCGTTATTTGCATGAGTTAACATTTATGATTTGGGTTATCTTCACGGCACTCCTGAACGTCCATAGGTGCTCAGATCCCGCCTTCAGCAAATACATCAGCATCCCACAGTTGATGGTCCCAGTCCGATGTTGCTTGACAAGACTTCTTGTGCGTCCAGTATGCTTCTTGTGCCTTGCTGTGCCGATCTTTGCTTTCCAATTCTTGCACTCTTAGCAAAGGTGTGGATGTGCTGCTCCCATAATCCTCCAAACGCCCTACCTCTCTAATGGCGTAAACAATATCGGCATGATCCATGAGCTGGCCCTCTGTAACTAAAGCAGAGCCAGCTAATCTGTCGGCTCTTTCATTGCCAACAGCAATGAGTTAAAATATGTTTAATGTTTTACATCAGGCGTTTGCAGAGTATATTGGCCATATGACGTATCGCAAGAATATATGTACCAGCCACTTGTTTACAGACTACCCGTTTGCAATGCGAGTGCTAGGCCTAGCTTGGATGTCAACACTTTGTATGGGTAAAATCATTGTTGTTTTAGACACGCCCACTGCATGTCTCTGTTGTTTTAGACACGCCCACTGCATGTCTGTGTTGTTTTAGACACGCCCACTGCATGTCTGTGTTGTTTTAGACACGCCCACTGCATGTCTGTTGTTTTTTAAAATGCCATTGTATTCATACCCTTGAGCTGCGCACGTGCATGCAGCCATCATGTTGTCACTTGTCACCATCATAGGCCATGCAACTGAACCTAGACTGTCATGTTTTGCCATCACTCATGATCACCAGAATCACAGATTATGTCAGTGCTCTTGTCTTGCCCCATCTGTATGGTTCCGCAATCAAGGTATTTCTATCTGTGTTTTGCTTGCTTTTTCCATTAATCTTGCCAGTGGTTACCAAGTTCTGAAGTCCATTCCTTCTGATAATATATCCAACTTTCTATGTCTAATTTTTATAACCAGTTTGTGACATTCTTCTGTCATGAGAAAGATGCATTGCTTGTGCTTATATAATTCCATGATGTTCTTTGCACTCTTCTCAAAACGACATCTTGGTTGTGTGTAGATTATAATTACCTTTTTAACCAAATTACAACGCAGATTGCCCAGAGGACTGCGGCTGCTGTAACTGGCTCCGCAATCTGCATAAGTATGCCTCCATTTTCCATCCGCGACCTACCGAACAGGGGAAATTGTTTCATGGTCCATCTGACAGGAACAAGAACATATAAAGATAGTAGTTTATTTCATAAATCCGATGTCATACAGTTACAATTTTCAGCTAATGCAACATTTGTTGTGGCGGAGAGGTTAGAAGATCTGATAATGTATGACTAGAGTGTTGTTTCTGATAGATAAAGCAATAACAACATTCTTACTCTAGTCCTGGAAGGTAAACACTGTCAATCATACACCATTATATGATTAGGTTGTAATATATTGCGGCCCACTTGGACATTTCACTGGCCCTGCAGTGGGTCATGGCCCATCGGTTTAAGAGCACTGCTTTATGCAAGCTATGGTAATAATGCCATGTGGGATACATTATTCATGAAAGGATTACAACAAGCAGAACTAGTATCCCTGTCCAAAATGGTGTAGATGGTTGGGTGCAGCCCGGAGCAGCCAGACATAAACATTTTACCAAGGGCACAGACTGGGCAGGCTCAGTTGTTTTATGCTTATGGGCTATTGAGGAAGAGACTGGGTTGTTTGTTAATTTAATCAGAGTGCTGCAAGCTACAGTGTCCTTACACGGGACCTCATGGCATCAAAGAACTAAAAGCAGGACACCCACTCAAAAAAAAAACACATTCACAGTCAGATGAAATTAGAGAGTGAAGTAAAAAAAAAAAAGAAGGGGTGATGTGTGGTGGTCTTTATGCAATAGCAAAATATACAATGACCTGTTGTTAGTTGGTTGATAGCCTATGCTCCATTGGAGGTACAGGGCAAAAGAAGTAGAAGTCAGTTCATACAGGGTTCATGATGGTATAGTGCAGGGCAGTTCAACTAAGCTTATTCAGGGGCAAAGATATTGAAAATGGGGCCCGTCACGGGCCAGAAGCCTAAGCCCCAGCATACAAAGATCCTTAATGCAATACAGCAGGCAATGATCCGGGGGCCACTTGCAAGGAATCCAAGAGCCTAAGTTGGCCCACGGCCACTGATTGAATAGCTCCTGATATAGTGGTTACTGTTTAGCGGGGTATAGACATAGTTTTCAAGTGGTAGAGGCCTGGTTTGTTATCCAGTCTTATCAGATGAGTATTTGGTATATTTAAAGCATTTGATAGAAATTGAGGTAACTAGCGAAAGATTTTATCATTCACTTCATGTAAAAATTGCCATTACTGCCTTTATTACCACTATTGTGGTGTAAAGGGATTGTCTGTGAGCCTGAGAGTTAAACCTGGCATAGCCCAAAGGTATTCGTGAGTGCAATTTGAATATAATTTCTGTTAAATTACAAAGATTTTTAATGTCAAAATTATGACAAAATTATTAACCCTTTAATAGTACCGTATGTTTTTAAATATTCATCTTTTAAAGTGGTATAGTAAAAATTGTGTGCCCTCACTAGTTGAGGTTCAGGCTTCACGTTGATGGATCTTCCCATAGCTGGCCCTATTTCTGCCTGTGGAAGTCACGTAAAATACCCTTCCCTATCTCATTTGACAAACATTTCAATGAAAATCTTGAAGCTTGCCTACCAAAGTCAGTGCATGAGGTAGCCATCAGATGTGCTAACATTAACATTTTCTGACCAGAATTGCAGCTTACTGTTGATGCTAGGATTCAATCACGAAATCTAGTATTTGCACACACAGTGCTACCTAAATACATGCTATTCTGAACATAACTCACAGCCATCTATGTTTATTCACACACACAAAAAACACTGCAGTGGGTACAAGACAAAGGGAAAAAAAACATTGCACATAAAATCCACAACTTTCATTGTGTGGGCTTTGGGGCCCCATTGAGTAAAAACAAGAATAGACCCATGCCTCTCCAACAGGCATGTTGTAAGAATGGACTAACTGGGTGGCGGCTTTCTTGGAAGTCGGAGTGCATCTGCCTGAAAGGGCAAAAAAATCAATCATCTGCATTCAGATAAGCCAGATATGTAAAATGGATGTTCATGCAACATACAGGTTCTTGAACAAGACTAAAGTCCATAGGTGGACATACAACCAGAACTTTTCGCTGGAGTTTACAGCCAGTGAAAGCAAAGAGAGGGAAAAAAAAAAAAAAATCCACAGGTCACACTGTCGCACCAAGTACTCATCTCATTAGCTCAGTGATTGGGACATCACAGTATGTGCGGTCTCCACAAGAAGGTTGGCTACAGCATATTCACTGCTGTCTGTAGAAGGATTACACTGCAGTTGCCCATGGTCTGACTCAAACCAGTGTCCAAAAATCATGAGAAAGGTGTTTTAAATAAAACTGTTGACTGCTGCATAGGCACATTGACAAATGCTTGAACACAGCAAGCCTGAACATGAACAAGCGTCGAGAAAACTAAACCGTTGACAAATGTATGCTCATTGTTCCAAGGATATCCCACTCGGCCAATGCGCCAGAGGTTTGTTGTCTAGGGTAACATCTATTTCAGAATACATTCTATTTACTGTCATTATGTCTGGATATTTCTTATGTGCAGCACATTCCACGATTGCACTTCACACTACCAAAAATAGCATTCACAAACCACTCAGTTTATTTTCATGCACAGGGAGCCACAAAAATCCCAAAACATACATTACTGCAGTGGTGGTAAACCTGCAGATGTGGCTCTGTAGCTCAGAGCTTAGTGAATGCGTTTAACAGTTTCAAGATCCTTAAGTACTAGGGTTTGATTTCCGTAGTTTTAAGCATCCATTATCTCATTGTTGGTCAATTCTCTCATTACTTAGAAATGAGGACAACTATTTAAAATAAATTATGTGCGAGAATTCAGATGGATGGTATTGATTACTAATTATAATCTATGCGTCAACAAATCAGGTAAGGGATACCAACTTAAAGCAAACATGCAGTTTTACTGAAGTGTGCTATATGAGGAAAGCATGAAATTGTGAGTAGAGCTTTTGAGTGCATAAGAAGAAGAACAGATTATTAAATCTTTGAGCTTATGAGGAAGTTCAGTCTTTTTGATTGATTTAATGCGAGCCTGGTCTTGTGGCGCTTGGAATGCCTGAAGTGAACGTAAAATGAGACTGAATAAATGTAATCAAGCTACTGGCCTGAGTCACTAGAAAACCTGGCTATTGTTCCACCATAATTTGAAATCAAGGACAGATTGTCTGCAATTCACTGCAATTATTTTGCTTGGTCAGATAATTACATTAGTTGTCTGGACTAATTGCTAGAGTAAAGATTTGTCTGTGGTGTGGAGAAAGTGTCATCTCATTCACTTGTGATGTTGAGCTGATCATGGTGAATCTGATGATGCATTGATGTTTAACTGCTTGATTGTTTCATTTTCAGATGTCTCTCCTGGAAGTTTAAAGAAGAATAGTGGACTTACTTCCGGCACAGAAAACACAGAAGGAACCATAACTAGCTTGCAAATGAACCTGGTATTTGTTCATGGTATGTTATGTTAGTCATCAGGTAATCCTCACTGTACACTGTAATGAACCATTCAATTCATGAGTTCTCGGATCCTCTCCTCAGTAAATACTCCAGCGTGTAGCGGCTTGCGGTACCAATTCTGTGTTTGTTCATTGTTCTACTTTGGCTTCCTTCCTAGAGCTCTCGTTTGCTGTAATTGTTTTTTAATGTGAAGTTTTTGTTTCTTGGTTGAGGGAAGAAGAATAAATCAATACAGAACTGGTGTTGTTAAGTTTTGTTGTCGACAGATCACCCTCATTGCACAGTGAAATATTCAGTTCATAAGTGCTTGGATGCCCTGCTTAGTAAATTACCCACTTTGTAGCAGCTGACATTGATCATTTTAAAGATCATCTTCATCACTTATTGGATATAACCATAAGTGTTCCGGTCTCCTCCTGAGTATGTCTTCAAGTGTCTTTAGGCTAATATCTCCCATTCTGTTCTGGTTGATGTAACCATGGGTGGCTCCTCCATGGTTTTCCTGTCTCACGGCTCCAACTTAAGACCCAGGGTATGCAGTCTATTCAGTGAAAATAAATATTCCATGAAACTGAAAGCCTCACAGTGTTTAGTATCCGGTATGGCATTGATGATTAATCTCCTGCCAGACACGTCCAATGTCCGGGCTTCTTACACACCACTGTACTGGGCTTGTGCAACAGGCACACTTGCCAAATGGTCTAGGGTTAATCAGTAATGGCAGGACTCACAGGTAACAACTCCAGTCTAAACCGTAACTGATAACTCTGAACACATAGACTATATACTGTTTTCAAACGCCATCATGAAATGGCTAGCGTCATAAGATATGTAACTCAATAAGTAAGTCATTCTTCCTTCTGCCTCATGTACACATTCAAGACTGCTCTGAAGGACTCCTCCTGTCACAACTATGTATTGTATATTTAACATTTGCTAAACACAATGAATGTACTCTATATTTAACATTTCACATTTACACAAGAGATTATATAAATATGATGTATACTCACACACACACACACACACTCTCTCTCTCTCTCTCTCTCTCTCTCTCTCTCTCTCACACACATGATGCTGATGTAAATATATATTTAACATATGTAACATAGAGAGCTTATATAATTAGATCGTATGGTTAAGATTTGTCACACCTGCCCGTTATTGATATACATGTGCTATATTTTTAACATGTGTCACACACTAATTCACTATTTTACTTTGAAGCATGCATCTGCCTGAGTGGCAGAGAACAAATAGTCTGCATACAAATAACCAAGATTTGTAAAATGGATGTGCACGCAACACTCAGGTTCTGGAACAGACTAAAGTCCAGAGGTGGGCAAACAACCAGAACTTTCCACCAGAGTTAAAAGCCAGTGAACAAGAAGGAGAGAAAGCAGAATTCACCATTTTTGTTGTTAATTCATGTCGCACATATTGGTCTGGTTTCAGAATTAGGTAAGTGCTCGTTGTGTATTTGCCACGTATTGAGCCTGATGAGTGACTGCGGCCTAGGGACAAAAGCAGGAAGGAACATTCTAGAAGAGAAATTGTAAGTACATACTAGTGTGGACATGGGGCCCAGGGCTTGTCACCCTGTGAGCACCCACTAGTACAACAGTTGGTGTTGTTTAAGTGGTACTTGCTTAGTGGCAGTTTTATTTCCTCTTTTCAGGATTACGCATTTTAAACATGCACCTTATTTAGAAGAGAGCTGTCAGCATAAACTATTCCTAAAGGGAACAGACTGGCAGTGTCCATTCATATCCCAGTGTTGTTTAAGGGGACAGACTGGCAGTGTCCGTTCATGTCCCAGTGTTGTTTAAGGGAACAGACTGGCAGTGTCCGTTCATGTCCCAGTGTTTTTTAAGGGAACAGACTGGCAGTGTCCGTTCATGTCCCAGTGTTGTTTAAGGAAACAGACTGGCAGTGTCCGTTGATGTCCCAGTGTTGTTTAAGGGAACAGACTGGCAGTGTCCGTTCATGTCCCAGTGTTGTTTAAGGAAACAGACTGGCAGTGTCTGTTCATGTCCCAGTGTTGTTGAAGGGAACAGACTGGCAGTGTCCGTTATGTCCCAGTATTGTTGAAGGGAACAGACTGGCAGTGTCCGTTCATGTCCTAGTGTTGTTTGTGTGTTTGTTTGTGTTCATCAGATGTAAACTCCAGCAGAATGTTCATTTTGTTCATACACTACAGATTTTGGCTTGGTTGCAGAACTTGACTGTTTGCTTGCACATCAGTTGTACAGGTCTGGATTATTTGTATGCAGGCTGTTGGTTTCTTGTCCTTCAGGCAGATTTATTCTGACTGTGAAGGAAACATTCCTGATTAGTCGTTTGCTATGCCATGCATGTTAGGCGACAGGGGGTCTGTTCCTGTTGCTCCTCAAAAGGGGCCCCAGAACCAAAACAGGCAATGTCCCGGTAATTTGGTATGTAATAAAACATAGCTTCACCATTTGAGACAAAGTCAGAAATTATATCATTGCTACATCGCAGGCTTTGCCAAGTGTCTAGGAGACTTGTTAACGCTTCATCCATGCATATAAAAAGTTCTCTAATTGACAATGTACTACAAACACTAGAATCACAAGGTCAACTCCAATACACTAAAAGTCATCTCTGTAATAGTGCATCGGTCTCTTTATTATGGGTGAAACATGTTACAACAAAGATGAATGGTGGTCGATGGCACACTGTCAAGTCTCCTACTGCCTTCCTAAGTATTAATATCGGCAGTCTGTCTAGACATGGACAAACCACCACTGATTTCCCAGGTGCCTACTATGAGCAACTCACACCCGACTGCATAGATACAGTTATGTGATGTACATTGACAGTCCTCTGATGGTGCTGCCCAAAAGAGCTCCATCACCAAGGGCTCAAGAAAGATGCACCTATTGGTGAAAAACTCCAGGCCTCCCGCCTGCTATCCCAGTCACTAATCGAAGTATCGCTGACTGACCATCCCACCTGCTATCACAGTCACTCACTGAAGTATCGCTGACTAACCATCCCGCCTGCTATCCCAGTCACTCACTGAAGCGCTGACTAACCATCCCGCCTGCTATCCCAGACACTCACTGAAGTGTCGCTGACAAACTATCCAGCCTGCTATCCCAGTCACTCACCGAAGTATCGCTGACTGACCATTCTGGCAATCAGCATCTGATACTTTCCCCCTATCACAACTACATGTTGGTCAACACCCAAAGTTCCCCAGCACCTTCTGTGCCCTTACAGAAACCCATCAACCATGAGTTCCATAGCCCCAACACTGTGGACCCCACAACACATGGGGCGACACAAGTCGTCCAATTCAGGCATTACTGACAGAATTCCCCAAAAAGTCCAACTCACGATCCACCAAAACCAATAGACAATTCAAATGAGCTCCAACAGAATAAAACACCTTGTTAAAACACCCTGGACTGGAACAACTCGTGCCTAAACATGTCCGCACGCTAAGAGTGGCTGAGAGGCACAGACTAGACTCAGGATAACCTTCAGCTCAGCGGCCAACCACGCTTGGTTCTTGCAGTACCAGTGGAGATCGCTGTTAGTTTTTGATCTAAAGAAAGCCCTGTCTCACGCATCAAGTAGCGTGGACTTTTTGCACTCATCTTTGCCATCATCATCATCTAGCGCCTTTACCACTGGCGTAAGCGATTACGCCTCTGACCTCTGATACAGTGGAACAGCAAAGTGAGTTCGGCAAACATCAACCATCATACAGTCTCAGTAAATTGGTATGCAATAAAATATAACTTCACCATTTGAGAAATGATACCATCATACAGTCCCTGTAATTTTGAAGGTAATATAACTTTACCATTTCATACTGACAGTGGAAACAACACCATGCACAATGTTAAATGAGAATCAGAAGATCAGATGGTTTAGTCATTGTGTTAGAATGCATCCAGAACAACAACTGTCACAGGCGTTGCACATGAAAAGATCATACCTGAAAGCAAGAGGTCCTCCTAGGAAAAAAAATGGATTGATAACATTAAGAGTTGCTACATCGACACAGAATTACTGTAGCCATTGCTACCCATCAGGCAGTGGAGTGTAAACTGTTTCTTCCCATGACGCTTAACGACAACAGTTGAATTTGATGATGATGATGAGGAATATAATATTTGAGTCTTACTGTGTGGTGTTACATTGTATATGTAATCCCATCGCAGTTACTGCCATCTGGATGTGGTATATTATTTGTTCACACATTCTAGACCATTATATACTAGGTGATGTGACCAGTTGCCTGTCTCATTGTCTTTCCTGCCAGCTAATTGTGCAAACTATCGGATGCCCATTTGTACCTCCTCAAAGTCAAACTGACCCTGCTGTCCTTGGGTTCGAAACATGACCATTGTCTTAGTCAGCAGGCCCACTGTCCATTATGCCATTGAGATTAATAAACCTGTAACTAGTTTTAGAATATAAAGGTTGCTTATTTGGGAGGTGATGTCTGCAGCAGTGAACCTCAAGGGTTCGGAGCACTGAGAAAGAGAAAGATAAAGTTTGAACACAAAGTAAAATAATTGCATACTGAATTGGGAAAGTGAAATCTGTGCAACATCTTGGGAACTTGTCTGTGTAACTTTTACCTTTGCAATTTTTAATGCAGTTTGTGTTGTCGCCTGTGACAGATTTGATCCACTCACATTTGGAGGTAAACCTATCCCAGAATTCAGATCTGCATCTGGCGATTTCTCGTTTCCAGCACTGTAGAGGGCCTGTAAGAATTATATCTGACAGTCACAGTGAAGAGGGCAACCTGTTTGTGAACTGAAAGGAAAAAACATACACACACACACACACTCACAGAGTAATGTCGACTTTTAATGCAACACACCAGCCAGCCACATATATAGCCAAGAGATTGAATATGCCCCAGAGTTTGAACAGAACTGTCGACTGCACAAAAGAAGTCACTAAGAGTTTTGGTTTAGCAATGCAGAGACTAAACAGCCTGAAAAACCTATGGCAAATCACCTGAAGCAAGGTAAAATAAACATGTTGAGATCATGAATCTTTCCTGTGGCAACTTACGGATGTAAGTCTTGGATTATTACTCAGTCATTGCAGAAGTAAAGGAGAGCTTTTGAACTGGAAAGCTGCAGAAAAATTCTCAGAATACCAAAGACCAAGAAAAAGGGAACACGAGGACATCTTACAGGAACTGAATATCGAGGAGAATTGGCTCATAAACAGCATCCTTCCCCAAAACCTGAGGCCTTTTGGTCAACTGTTAAAGTCATGGTACCCTGGGGAGAGCGGTGATGGATGGTACAGCTTCCAGAAAATGAGGCAGAAGTGGACATTTGGGATGATGGATATAGACATTGAAGAGGCATTGGCTATGAAAGAGCAAAGTAGCGGTGAATTGGCTGGAGAAAGAGAGCCTATAACTGTGCCATGATGAGAGCGATGTTCTGTAAATGATTTGCTGATTGATTTGTCTTTAAATCTGGTCAAAATATTTTATTTGGTGCTTTGTTTTATTTATTTCAGCAGCTTTATTTTATTCCCAGCCTATTTGGAACCTTTATATAATATTTCCCCCCCCCCCCCCACCCCCCCCCCCCCCCATGAAATATTACCTATTCCATTTATTCACATCTCCAGAGACTAAATTTAAACTTTCTAATAGACGTTTATTTTCCAAGTCTTTACAGAATGCATAAAGATTGAGTATGAATATCATTTGCAAATTGTCATTTTTATTTTAACTTTCTAGGTGTCAATAATTTGTACATGCTTTAAAGATATTTTTGGCCCATCAAATTCTTTGTTGCTTTTTTTTTTTCAACTTCTGCCAAAATCTGTTATCACATGTTGATGAAGAGAGAAAGATGTTACTTGCTCCAATAGCTCTCTTGACTGTGTTGTTAACTGCTGGTCTCTCCGTATTTATTTGCTAGTTTAAACACAAATTGTAAAGAAGAAAGTTTTGAAAGTCACCAGGATCAATTTCATTCAGCTTTGTAGTATTATGTGTGGCTCACTCTGTCTCTGCAGAATCAGATGGTCACAAAAGCAGGACATTTGTAGTTGCAGTCATGATCTCCGGGAATCTTCATCAAACCTGTGAACCAAGCATCTAGAATGAGAGCCCCTTGTGATTTAAAACAGCACCACATGATGATAACCCATATGATACAATCTGTGAAATTAATCCACAACCACAGCTTGAGGATTATCACACAGACCCCTAATTTAAAAAAAAAAAAATGGAAACATCTAATCCATACTTTGCACTTGGCTATTTATACAGGTCACAACTTTGGCAGTGAACATGACCCGGCGACTCCAGAATGCTCTGCTCCAGACCATCATGGTGGCAATTTTCTCATGTGGGACAAATCTGTCAATGGCAAAAGTCCAAACAACCTGGTCAGCAAAGCATTCAGTTCTTCAAAACTAAGTTTCTCTAGCTGGGTGCGATAACGCCAATATGCCATCAATAGAAAAACTTGTATTATTTTATCAAGACCATCCCATCATTAATTCTGAGAGGTGTGGAAGGGAATCATTTCCCTGAAAAACCATAAACCTGTTTCTGTGCTTGGCTTTTAACTATTCTATTGAGTACATGTTTAGTTATTAAGATGCCTTACTTTGCTTGTGGCTAGTTGGGTTATGTGGCTAGCCTAGAACTTGAATCTGAGAATATTGTATGGCTAGCCAAGAACTTGAATCTGGAAGTGTTGTGTGGCTGGCCAAGAACTTGAGTCTGGAAATGTTGTGTGGCTAGCCAAGAACTTGAATCTGGAAGTGTTGTGTGGCTAACCAAGAACTTAAATCTGGAAGTGTTGTATGGCTAGCTGGAACTTGAGTGGAAGTGTTGTATGGCTAGCCAAGAACTTGAGTCTGGAAGTGTTGTGTAGTTAGCCATGAACTTGAGTCTAGAAGTGTATTGTGGCTAACCAAGAATTTTAGTCTAAGAGTGTTGTGTGGCTAGCCAAGAACTTGAGTCTGGAAGTGTTGTGTGGCTAGCCAAAAACTTGAGTCTGGAAGTGTTGTATGGCTAACCAAGAACTTGAGTCTGAGAGTGTTGTGTGGCTAGCTAGAACTTGAGTTTGAGAGTGTTGTGTGGCTAGCCAAGAACTTGAGTCTGAGAGTGTTGTGTGGCTAGCTGGAACCTAAATCTGAGTCATGTGACTATTTGGTGACTTGAGTCTGAGAACTCTATGTGGCTCGTTGAGACTTTATTCTGAAAGTTGTTTGTGTACATAATATGCTTGATATGTAAAATGCAGTTGCTGCCTGAAAGATTAATGCTTCAAAGGGCTGACTTGCCTGTGGGCCTAATTTGGAACACTTTGGAAAAACAGTTTGTTTGTTCCTGGTAGTAAGAGATATATGTGTTTCTGACTAAGATTAAAAGTGGCTCAGTGTAAAAGTTATTCACATGTTTAGTTTTGTGAGATAGTTATTCTCATGTTTAGTTTTGTGAGATAGTTATTCACATGGATGAATCGATGGATGCAGTCGATGGATAGATGCATTCGATGGATGGATGCAGTGGATGGATGGATGCAATTGATAGATCGATGGAGTCTGGATGGATGCATTGATGGAAGGATGCAGTCTGTGGATGGATGCAGTCTGTGGAAGGATGCAGTCGATGGATGGATGCAGTCTGTGGATGGATGCAGTTTGTGAATGGATGGATGCATCAATGGATGGATGCAGTTGATAGATGGATGCAGTCGATGGATGGATGCAATCAATGGATGGATGCAATCGATGGATGGATGCAGTTGATGGATGGATGGATGCAGTCTGAGGATAAATGCATCAATGATGGATGCAGTCGATGGATGAATGCATCGATGGATGGATGCAGTCGATGGATGGATGCAGTTGATAGATAGATGCAATCGATGGATGGATGCAGTCTGTGGATGGATGCACCGATGGATGGATGCAGTCTGTGGATGGATGCAGTCTGTGCGTGAATGCAGTCTGTGGATAGATGCAGTCTGTGGATGGATGCAGTCTGTGGATGGATGCAGTCTGTGGATGGATGCAGTCTGTGGATGGATGCAGTCGGTGGATAGATGCAGTCTGAGGATGGATGCATCGATGGATGGATCTATCGGATGGATGCATCGATGGATAGATGCAGTCTGTGAAAGGATGCAGTCGATGGATGGATTCATCAATGGATGGATGCAGTCTATGGATAGATGTAGTCTGTGAATGGATGCAGTCTGTGATGGATGCAGTCTGTGGATGGATGCATCGATGGATGGATGCAGTCGATGGATAGATGCATTGGATGGATGGATGCAGTGGAAGGATGGATACAATTGATGGATGGATGGAGTCTGGATGGATGCATCAATGGAAGGATGCAGTCTGTGGATGGATGCAGTCTGTGGATAGATGCAGTCTGAGGATGGATGCATCGATGGATGGATCTGTCGGATGGATGCATCGATGGATAGATGCAGTCTGTGGATGGATGCAGTCTGTGAAAGGATGCAGTCGATGGATGGATGCATCAATGGATGGATGCAGTCTGTGGATAGATGTAGTCTGTGAATGGATGCAGTCTGTGAATGGATGCAGTCTGTGGATGGATGCATTGATGGATGGATGCAGTCGATGGATAGATGCATTGGATGGATGGATGCAGTGGAAGGATGGATGCAATTGATGGATGGATGGAGGCATCGATGGAAGGATGCAGTCTGTGGATGGATGCAGTCTGTGGAAAAATGCAGTCAATGGATGGATGCAGTCGATGGATGGATGCAGTCTGTGGATGGATGCAGTCTGTGGAAGGATGCAGTCTGTGGAAGGATGCAGTTGATGAATGGATGCATCGATGGATGGATGCATCGATAGATGGATGCAGTCGATGGATGGATGCAGTCGGTGGATGGATGCAGTCAGTGGATGGATGCAGTCTGTGGATGGATGCAGTCTGTGGATGGATGCAGTCTGTGGATGGATGCAGCCGGTGGATCGATGGAGCCGGTTAATGGATGCAGCCGGTGGATGGATGCAGCCGGTGGATGGATGCAGTCGATAGATGGATGTAGTCTGTCACAAACCTCTGGTATGACCTTGCCGGTCCGTGGCTCGCTAACTAGGCCTATGACAGACAGACTAACCTACAACACACACTGAACCCGAACGCACACAGAGCACACACGACAATCTTTATTGGAAGTACAGGTAATACATAGACAGTTGACTTCCTGCCGTGTGGCCACCTATTGCCTGGACCCTCTGGCTGGACGGGCTTTACAATCGCCCCGTCCCCAGTACGTGCGACAGGCAATACTCTGGTGTACAAACCACAATCCGGCAGGATACGCTCTCTTCTATCGCCACGCTGACCCAATCAAACTGTCACAGTCTCTGTCTTAGTGCAGGGTCAGAGTGTCCAGGTTAGCCACTCTCTCACAGCACATATACATAAATACTCTACACAAGAACTATCCTATCCTAACACAAAACTGTACATAAACTATCCAGTCACTAACAGAAATATATCCTAACTTTAATACTATAACATAAACTATCCAGTCACTAAACGTCCTCTCTTCCTGACTGACGCACACCGAATGTCCCTTCTTCCTTCTACCTCGTGTCTCTTAACCCCGTTCACCAGCTCAGTCCCAGAAGCAGTCATCGTGTTATTAAAACACAGTTCAGGCTTTCTTGCTTTATCCTGAGCGCTGGTTTCGCCGTGCGATCACAGAACGGACTTGACCAGTGACGGCCCTGACCTCTGTGTCAACCCTGGGTGCACACCTTACGGTGTGGTACACTGACTGTACTTAATAGGGTTGTGACAAAGTCTGGATGGATGGATGCAGTCTGTGGATGGATGCAGTCTGTGGAAGGATGCAGTCTGTGGAAGGATGCAGTTGATGAATGGATGCATCGATGGATGGATGCATCGATAGATGGATGCAGTCGATGGATGGATGCAGTCGGTGGATGGATGCAGTCAGTGGATGGATGCAGTCTGTGGATGGATGCAGTCTGTGGATGGATGCAGTCTGTGGATGGATGCAGCCGGTGGATCGATGGAGCCGGTTAATGGATGCAGCCGGTGGATGGATGCAGCCGGTGGATGGATGCAGTCGATAGATGGATGTAGTCTATGGATTATTACAGCAGTTTTTTTTATATTAGTTATTTTATTCATCAGAAGTTTTCGGCATGCTCCAAGAGGTACATAGGCCGGGCTATTGTTCAAGCCTCATGCCTTGTTCGTAAGTAAAGCTAGGGTACACACTTTTAATACCATCTTACTGATGATGTACATTTCTGCATTTGTATGAACACTATTGATCATGTTTAAAGCAGTGTATGATGTGATGAGTTGGAGGGGAGTCGGGTTGTTGAGAGCCTTAGAAATTAAGTTTGCTGGGCTAATATGAACACAATCATCATCTTGTAGGACAGAATGTTGCTCTCATCAGGGTCTGCCTGAAAGAAACTTGGTCTCTCACCAGCTCGCCCGCCTCATGTACTTCATATTCAAGGACTCACTTATATCCTTTGCCATCTTTGTTTTGGTCGGCCTCTGCCCCCTTCTTCCTTCTGCTATTATGATTTTGATGTTCAGATCTTTTAAAATGTTAGTATTTCTTCTCTTCTTTCTATAGCTTTTCAGCTCAAAAGTCCTTATTTTCTTTCTTAAGGACTGAACACTATACACACATACTGTCATCGGGCTAATGACTTATGTTTCTTATGTATATGATGCAACACGCACAAATAATACTATCTGATTGATGCATAGAATTCTAGGTGTATATGAGCACTGCATACACATATAATACATATGTGGCCACAGCTGGTGCAGTCACCATCGACTGTACAGGTAAAGTTGTTTATTTCTGCTGCAAACAAATGCCATCACCTTACTGAGCATTTGAAACTGGGTCTCCTGCATGAGTCCCACTTTGAGTTCCCATCTTGGCTAGCCCGTCGTTTTAAACCTTGGTTAGCCACTTCTCATGTTATGGTGGTAAACATTTCAGTAAATTCCAAGATAGTCTGATCTCTGTAAAAGTATACTGAATGAAAAAGGTCAGTAAAGTGTTTGTTGTAGAGGTATTTTCTTTAACACTTGTGGTCCAGGTAAGTCTGTAAATCTCTAACAACTTCCATTAGTAATAGGTCATAAACATTGTGGCCGAAATCAGTGGAATGAAGATGAGGTAGCAGCTGGTTCATAAACAGTAAACTTTCTCATAAACAGTAAACTTTCTCATAAACAGTAAACTTTTCATAAACTGAAATGCTTTGACCATATCTTCTTCTTCTCAGCGTTCGTCGGATGTAAACAACAGCCTTTTAGTAGACTAGGGGTCGATTCTTGTTTCCTCCAAAGATAGGGTCTAAACTTACAAAGGAAATAGCTCAGTAAAATGTTGTATATCATGTAGGTCATAGATGTTGTGAAAGTCAGAAATATTTGTGGTAACAGTCAGTAGACATTGTGAAAGTCAGTAAAATCTGTGGTAGCAGTAGGTCAGTAGACATTGTGAGAGTCAGTAGAATTTGTGGTTGCAAAAGTATTACAAGAAGAATGGATTTTGTATTAAATGAATGAATGGATCAGGCTGGAAATGTAACATATAGTAAAATTACTTTTCATTTCTTTAGATTTTATCAAGCTTGTGTATATATGTTGTTAATATATGTTTGTTTCATGTTACACAGTCTTAGAATGATGGCTAACAATTTTCTGAAGCAGCACCTAAACTAATTTTAGTTACAAGCCACCACTTGTAATATTTGTCTTGTGAGAGGCTCTGGAAAAGTAGTTAACTGAATTAAATTTGATCTGCTGGGATTTGTGTTTGATATGACTATTGTCTTACTTGTGAGAGAGGCTCTGGAACAGTTGTAGTTAACAGAACTACACTTGATCTGCTGGGATTTGTGTTTGATATGACTATTGTCTTACTTGTGAGAGAGACTCTGGAACAGCTCTGTAGTTAACAGAATTACACTTGATCTGCTGGGATTTGTGTTTGATATGACCATTGTCTTACTTGTGAGAGAGGCTCTGGAACAGTACTGTAGTTAACAGAATTGCACTTGATCTGCTGGGATTTGTTTTTGATATGACTATTGTCTTACTTGTGAGAGAGGCTCTGGAACAGTACTGTAGTTAACAGAACTACACTTGATCTGCTGGTATGAGTGTTTGATTTGACCATTGTCTTACTTGTGAGAGAGGCTCTGGAACAGTACTGTAGTTAACAGAATTACACTTGATCTGCTGGGATGAGTGTTTGATATGACTATTGTCTTACTTGTGAGAGAGGCTCTGGAACAGTACTGTAGTTAACAGAATTACACTTGATCTGCTGGTATGAGTGTTTGATTTGACCATTGTCTTACTTGTGAGAGAGGCTCTGGAACAGTACTGTAGTTAACTGAATTGCACTTGATCTGCTGGGATGAGTGTTTGATATGCCCGTTGTCTTCAGCCAGGTCCAGCATGATTTCTTTCTGTGGCAATGGTATAGTCGACGAGAAAGAGCAGTGTGACGCTGGGGCCCATGGGGTGATTGGTACCAACCCCTGCTGTACCAGTAATTGCAAGCTCAAAGAACATGCCACTTGCAGGTCAGTGTGTTGCTGTTGTTGGTGAAGGTTAGGGTGACAGCTAACTCTGACTTGTAGATGCTGCATGGGGTACAGGCTAGGAACATTGAATCAATTACCATGAATATTTCAGTCATGAAAATTAACAGATTGGACATGGACATACCAGATAAGAATATGAACATATCGGACAAAGCATGAACAAAATATACAGATCATGAACATATCAGGCATGAATATGAACAATTTTAGACATGAAATATCAAATAGGAAATTGCTGGCTTGATGTCCTAGTCGAGGTTTCAGCTTCACTGCAATCAGGTCATCCCATACTTGTGCCAGTGAAGATCAAATAAATTGTCCCTTATTTTCCCATTTTAAAGCCGGTAAATAAAATTTGTCCCAACACAGTCCAGAAATATGCGCACGAAGTAAATAAGGCAGTTGCTAGAGGCGCCAAAGCCAACAGTCACCACAAGAAATGCAGTTTGTTGTTGATGGAAGTAATCAGTTATGATAGGTTGGCTAAGCACATGTCAAATTATTACATAAGCTCATAAGGTATTTTGCCAGTCCACATGTAAATTGACTACCAGCCATCTTAAATTCCGTGACTCAACCACTGCAGAAATGAAAGGCATTCCACATGAAAAGACATAGGTCACAGTGCTGCTCCAACTGCTGAACTCAGTGGCTTAGGCAATGAAACTGTAGACTACCATCCATATGTGGAAACAACATTAGCAAAGTGCTGTCAGAAGCAAAAAATAAATTTGAAGCTAAACATTCTGCCATGCCTAGCCCTCCATATTGGGCCGGACGTGTATATATGTGGCGCATATATCAGCTATGAAAAAGACCATATCATAATGAACACTTAAAACATAAACATATCAGGGAAAAAATGTACATGTACCAGAAATGAACACTTAAGACAAGATAAAAACGTAAACATATCAGACATAAACATGAACATTTTACACATTAACAAATCAGTCAAGAAAATAAACATATGAGATATGAACCTGAATGTTCAAGACAAGAACTTGAACTTATCTGACATGGACATAAATGTATAGGGAATGAATGAATACAAGAGTATAAACATATCAGATATGAATAAGAGCATATCAGACATGAAAATAAACATATCAGAATATATTACATGTTAACATAAGTGTGTATCAGATGACATATCAGATGTTATGTATTATGTGTTCATTTTGGTGTTCATGCAGATATCGGATATGTATGACTACATTCTATTACACCTATTCTGGCACACACAATAAGTGAAATTAATATTAATGTGTCTGTTACATCTAACCTTATACCCACAATAACTGGACTACACTCTGGTACCTCTCTTACATCTAATTTAACACATAGTAACTGGCTTAACCTTTGGTACCTCTCTTATATCTAATCTAACACACAATAACTGGACTACACTCTGATACCTCTCTTACATATAATCTAACACACAGTAACTGGACTAACCTCTGGTACCTCTCTTACATCTAAACTAACACACAATAACTGGACTACACTCTGTTACATCTCTTACATCTAAACTAACACACCATAACTGGACTGCACTCTGTTACATCTAATTTGGCACACAATAACTGGACTACACTTGGGTACCTCTCTTACATCTAAACTAACACACCATAACTGGACTACACTCTGTTACATCTCTTACATTTGAACTAACACACCATAACCGGACTACATTCTGTTACATCTAATTTAGCACACAATAACTGGACTACACTCTGTTACTTCTAATTTAGCACACAATAACTGGACTACACTCGGGTACCTCTCTTACATCTAAACTAACACAGTAACTGGACTACACTAGAACCTCTCTTACATCTTATCTAACACAGTAACTGGACTGCACTAGAACCTCTCTTACATCTAATCTAACACAGTAACTGGACTACACTAGAACCTCTCTTACATCTTATCTAACACAGTAACTAGACTACACTAGTTCCTCTCTTACAACTTATCTAACACAGTATGTGGACAAAACTCTGGTACCTCTCTTACATCTAATCTAACAAATAGTAATTGGACTAAGCTATGGTACTTCTCTTACATCTAATCCAACATATTAAATGATCTGTGCTGTTGTTTTGTGGCAACAAATTATCACTTTCAGTACCAGAAGACAGTTAGTTTAATTAGTTATAAATCATCTTGTGATGCATTGCTTGATACTAAAACAAGTGGTACCATACAGCCTGATTTATAGAAGCTTGCTTTAAAATCTGCAACAGTAGGTGGTAGATAATAGGTATACTTGACTAGTAATGAGATGACTGTCAGGCTGAACACTCACATCAGTACAACAGTTACCATTAATGAGAGGAATGTCAGACTCCGCACTCACATCAGTACAACAGTTACCATTAATGAGAGGAATGTCAGACTCCGCACTCACATCAGTACAACAGTTACCATTAATGAGAGGAATGTCAGACTCCGCACTCACATCAGTACAACAGTTACCATTAATGAGAGGAATGTCAGACTCCGCACTCACATCAGTACAACAGTTACCATTGATGAGAGGAATGTCAGACAACACTCACATCAGTGACCAATAATGAGAGGAATCTCAGACTCAACACTTTCATCAGTACAACAGTGACCATTAATGAGAGGAATATCAGACTCAACACTCACATCAGTGACCAATAATGAGAGGAATGTCAGACTCAACACTCACAACAGTTACCATTAATGAGAGGAATGTCAGACTCCGCACTCACATCAGTACAACAGTGACCATTAATGAGAGAAATGGCAGACTCAACACTTTCATCAGTACAACAGTGACCATTAATGAGAGGAATATCAGACTCAACACTCACATCAGTGACCAATAATGAGAGGAATGTCAGACTCAACACTTTCATCAGTACAACAGTGTTATGAGAGGAATATCAGACTCAACACTCACATCAGTGACCATTAATGAGAGGAATATCAGACTCAACACTCACATCAGTGACCATTAATGAGAGGAATATCAGACTCAACACTCACATCAGTGACCATTAATGAGAGGAATGTCAGACTCAACACTCACATCAGTGACCATTAATGAGAGGAATGTCAGACTAAACACTCACATCAGTAACCATTAATAAGAGGAATGTCAGACTCAAGACTCACATCAGTGACCATTAATGAGAGGAAAGGTCAGGCTGAACACTCACATCAGTAACCATTAATGAGAGGAATGTCAGACTCAACACTCACATCAGTGACCATTAATGAGAGGAATGTCAGACTCAACAGTCACATCAGTGACCATTAATAAGAGGAATGTCAGACTAAACACTCACAACAGTGACCATTAACGAGAGGAAAAGTCAGGCTGAACACTCACATCAGTACAATGGTGACCACCATCCAGATGAGCACTGAGCCGTGACTTGAGTACAGCGATGATCAGCTCTGACAGAACCCATATTTTATTATGTCTACAAATATTTTTAATTGACATTCTGGGGCGGAGTTTACTGAGCAGCTGATAGATTAGCTACTTGTAGATACAGCAGATGTGGGGAAGGCTCTCCAGGATCAAGTGGACACTGCAACAGAACAGACGGAGAGCATCCATACTTTGAGACACTGATTCATTGGGGAGTGAGCAGAAGTTCTGGTGGATGTTAAATATTGGAACTCTTCATTGGCTGAGGAAGGGAACAGTGCACATGTTGCAATGCCCCCAGGTGCAGTCACGTCGACTCTTCATTAATCAGCTCATTCGTTCATTTTGCATTGGATGTGTTAAATAAGGTGTGTATCCCGGAACCACACTGTGGGGGAAAACAAGAATAGATCAACTGCCTTTTCCAACAAGCTGTCATAAGAGTCGACTAATTGGAGGCTTCCTTCTTAGTCAGGATGCATCTGCCCAAAAATCAAGGGACCACTAGTCTGCCTACACATAAGCCAGATCTGTACAAAAGATATGCATACAGTAGTCAGGAACTGGAACAACACTAAAGGAAGGTGGTAGATGACAACCAGAACTTTCCATAAGGGTTTATAGCCGGTGAATGCAAAGAAGAAGAAGGGGGAGGAGAAAGAAAAAAGAAAAACATATGACTAGAACAAGATCCAGGTTGACCTAGCCTTGAGTGGGTACCGGGTGCAGTCCAGGGAAGTACAGGCGGCTGGCATGATGCTGACTACATCAACTATCTTGAGCCGATCGGTCTATAAAAATATAGGTCAAGCCCTATATGCCTTATATGCCTAAAGGTGTGGAAAAGGGACCTTTACTTTTATTTTTTTAGAACAAGGTCACATTTGTTTATAATTGCATGCAATGGTGTCTGTTTTATTTAGTGACATGAACCAGGCTTGCTGCAAAAACTGTACCATGTCTGCCAAGGGGACACTCTGTATTGCCAGGGATGATATTGAGTGTGAAAATGCCAGTTACTGCTCGTATCCTTGTCGGTTGTTATTGTTCATGTGTAGTTGTAGGATGGAAGATATCTCTAGTTAACATCTGGCATTTCATGACAGCTCATACATCCATCTCAGGATAGTTAATACCTCCATCTCACAACAGTTAAGACCTCCATCTCAGAATAGTTAATACCTCCATCTCACAACAGTTAATACTTCCATCTAACGACAGTTAATACCTCCATCTCAGGATAGTCAATACCTGCATCTCAGGATAGTTAATATCTCCATCTCAGGATAGTTAATACCTGCATCTCAGGATAGTTAATACCTGCATCTCAGAATAGTTAATGCCTCCATCTTAGGATAGTTACTACTTGCATCTAATGACAGTTAATACCTCCATCTCAGGGTAGTTTATACATCCATCTCAGAATAGGTAATACCTGCATCTCAGGATAGGTAATACCTCCATCTCAGGATAGGTAATACCTCCATCTCAGGATAGTCAATACCTGCATCTCAAGATAGTTAATACCTCCATCTCAGGATAGTTAATACCTCCATCTTAGGATAGTTAATACCTTCATCTTAGGATAGTTAATACCTGCATCTTAGGATAGTTAATACCTCCATTTCAGGATAGTTAATACCTCCATCTCAGGATAGTTCATATCTCCATATTAGGATAGTTAATACCTGCATCTCAGGATAGTTAATAACTACATCTCAGAATAGTTAATGCCTCCATCTCAGGATAGTTACTACTTGCATCTAATGACAGTTAATACCTCCATCTCAGGGTAGTTAATTCATCCATCCAGAATAGGTAATACCTGCATCTCAGGATAGGTAATACCTCCATCTCAGGATAGGTAATACCTCCATCTCAGGATAGTCAATACCTGCATCTCAAGATAGTTAATACCTCCATCTCAGGATAGGTAATACCTCCATCTCAGGATGGTTAATACCTGCATCTTAGGATAGTTAATACCTCCATTTCAGGATAGTTAATACCTCCATCTCAGGATAGTTAATACCTCCATATTGGGATAGATAATACCTGCATCTAGCGTTAGTTAATACCTCCATCTCAGGATAGTTAATACCTGCATCTCAGGATAGTTAATGCCTCCATCTCAGGATAGTTACAACTTGCATCTAACGACAGTGAATACCTCCATCTCAGGATAGTTAATAGCTGCATCTCAGGATAGTTGATACCTTCATCTTCATGATAGTTAATACCTCCATCTCAGGATAGTTAATACCTCCATCTCAGGATAGTTAATACCTGCATGTAATGACAGTAAATACCTCCATCTCAGGATAGTTAATACCTGCATGTAATGGAGTAAATACCTCCATCTCAGGATAGGTAATACCTCCATCTCACACAGTTAATACCTCCATCTGAGGATAGTTAATACCTCTGTCTCAGGATAGTTAATACCTCCATCTCAGGATAGGTGATACCTCCATCTCAGGATGGTTAATACCCTAATCTCAGGATAGTTAATACCTGCATCTTGGGATAGATAATACCTGCATCTCATGATAGTTAATACCTCCATCTCAGAATAGTGGATACCTCCATCTCAGGATAGTTAATACCTCCATCTCAGGATAGTTAATACCTCCATCTCAGGACAGTTAATACCTGCATGTAATGACAGTAAATACCTCCATCTCAGGATAGTTAATACCTGCATCTCACAACAGTTAATACCTCCATCTCAAGATAGGTAATACCTCCATCTCACAACAGTTAATACCTCCATCTGAGGATAGTTAATACCTGCATCTCAGGATAGTTAATACCTCCATCTTAGAATAGTTAATACCTCCATCTCAGAATAGTTAATACCTCCATCTCACAACAGTAAATACCTCCATCTCACACAGTTAATACCTCCATCTTAGAATAGTTAATTCCTCAATCTCAGAATAGTTAATGCCTCCATTTCACAACAGGTAATACCTCCATTTCAGGATAGTTAATACCTCCATCTCACAACAGTTAATACCTCCATCTCAGGATTGTTAATACCTCCATCTCACACAGTTAATACCTCCATCTCACAACAGTTAAAACCTCTATCTCAGGATAGTTAATACCTCCATCTCAGGATAGTCAATACCTCCATCTTACAATAGTTAATACCTGCATCTTCGGATAGTTAATACCTCCATCTCAAAACAGTTAATACCTCCTTCTCAGGATAGTCAATACCTGCATCTCAGGATAGTTAATACCTGCATCTAATGACAGTAAATGCCTCCATCTCAGGATAGTTAATACCTGCATCTAACGACAGTTAATACCTCCATCTCAAGATAGTTTAATACCTGCATCTCAGGATAGTTAATACCTCCATCTCAGGATAGTTAATACCTGCATCTAATGACAGTTAATACCTCCATCTCAAGATAGTTTATACCTCCATCTCAGGATAGTTAATACCTGCATCTAACGACAGTTAATACCTCCATCTCAAGATAGTTAATACCTCCATCTCAGGATAGTTAATACCTCCATCTGAGGATAGTTAATACCTGCATCTCAGGATAGTTAATACCTCCATCTCACAACAGTTAATACCTCCATCTCAGGATAGTTAATACCTCCATCTCACAACAGTTAATACCTGCATCTAACGACAGTTAATACCTCCATCTCAGGATAGTCAATACCTGCATCTCAGGATAGTTAATACCTCCATCTCACAATAGTTCATACCTGCATCTCAGGATAATTAATACCTACATCTCAAAACAGTTAATACTCCTTCTCAGAATAGTCAATATCTGCATCTCAGGATAGTTAATATCTCCATCTCAGGATAGTTAATACCGGCATCTCAGAATAGTTAATGCCTCGATCTCAGGATAGGTAATACCTCCATCTCAGGATAGTCAATACCTGCATCTCATGATAGTTAATACCTCCATCTCAGGATAGTTAATACCTCCATCTCAGGATAGTTAATACCTCCATCTCAGGATAGTTAATACCTCCATCTCAGAATAGGTAATACCTGCATCTCAGGATAGGTAATACCTCAATCTCAGTATAGGTAATACCTCCATCTCAGGATAGTCAATACCTGCATCTCATGATAGTTAATACCTCCATCTCAGGATAGTTAATACCTCCATCTCAGGATAGTTAATACCTTCATCTTAGGATAGTTAATACCTGCATCTTAGGATAGTTAATACCTCCATTTCAGGATAGTTAATACCTCCATCTCAGGATAGTTAATACCTCCATATTAGGATAGTTAATACCTGCATCTAGTGACAGTTAATACCTCCATCTCAGGATAGTTAATACCTGCATCTCAGGATATTTAATACCTGCATCTAATGACAGTAAATACCTCCATCTCAGTATAGTTAATACCTGCATCTAACGACAGTTAATACCTTCATCTCAGGATAGTTAATATCTGCATCTCAGGATAGTTAATACCTCCATCTTAGAATAGTTGATACCTCTATCTTAGAATAGTTGATACCTCCATCTCAGAATAGTTAATACCTCCATCTTAGAATAGTTAATACCTCCATCTTAGAATAGTTGATACCTCTATCTTAGAATAGTTGATACCTCCATCTCAGAATAGTTAATACCTCCATCTTAGAATAGTTGATACCTCCATCTCAGAATAGTTAATACCTCCATCTTAGAATAGTTGATACCTCTATCTTAGAATAGTTGATACCTCCATCTCAGAATAGTTAATACCTCCATCTTAGAATAGTTGATACCTCCATCTCAGAATAGTTAATACCTCCATCTTAGAATAGTTGATACCTCCATCTCAGGATAGTTAATACATCCATCTCACACAGTTAATACCTCCATCTCACGATAGTTAATACCTCCATCTCACAACAGTTAATACATCCATCTCAGAATAGTTAATACCTCCATCTCACATCAGTTAATACATCCATCTTAGGATGGTTAATACCTCCATCTCACAACAGTTAATACCTCCATCTTAGGATGGTTAATACCTCCATCTCACAACAGTTAATACCTCCATCTCACAACAGTTAATACATCCATCTTAGGATGGTTAATACCTCCATCTCACATCAGTTAATACATCCATCTTAGGATGGTTAATACCTCCATCTCACAACAGTTAATACCTCCATCTCAGAATAGTTAATACCTCCATCTCACATCAGTTAATACATCCATCTTAGGATGGTTAATACCTCCATCTCACAACAGTTAATACCTCCATCTCAGAATAGTTAATACCTCCATTTCACAACAGGTAATACCTCCATTTCAGGATAGTTAATACCTCCATCTCGCAACAGTTAATACCTGCATCTAACGACAGTTAACACCTCCATCTCAGAATAGTTAATACCTCCATTTCACAACAGGTAATACCTCCATTTCAGGATAGTTAATACCTCCATCTTACAATAGTTAATACCTGCATCTCAAAACAGTTAATACCTCCTTCTCAGGATAGTCAATACCTGCATTGCAGGATAGTTAATACCTGCATCTCAGGATAGTTAATACCTCCATCTCAGGATAGTTAATACCTGCATCTAATGACAGTTAAAACCTCCATCTCAGGACAACACTGTTATATTTATTTTTAGTGTTAGCCGGTGTTTATTTTGGTGTTGACTTGTGCTACGATCCATTTGTGTGTTGAAAAGTACATTTAGGAATGTCCGGGTTCTGTTTGCATGTGCGTAAAGTCTATCCATGCACCCTAGATAGTAGCATTGCAGTTTGGGTATAATTTACCAAGGTCTAAAGAAGAGCTTGAATCGGAGGACTGTTGGTTCCGGCCCAGGTAATACCTGGAACAAATAGGGCGAGATTAGAGTGAGTGCTGATTGTAAAGCCCTTCACAATTAGTTGTGGTAGGGCCGGGGAACCCTCTCAGGGGTAAACTATTTACATTTCATGCTAAAGTATATTAAAACTGATATGTATGCTCAGGTAGTGTTGGGTTAAGTGTGTTGTAGTGATAGACATTTCTGTCACCAACCTACCAACGAGCCACATGCCTGCACGGCAGTAAACATAGGTTCTTAACACAGAAGGGGGGAGGGGGGGGGGGGGGAGATAGTTAAATTTGTAAATATAAGAGATGTGAAATCCTTACACACAAGAGAGAGGGGAATACATGGGGGTAAAAGGGGAGGAGGTGTTAATTCTGTACACATGAAATAGATGCAAAACCCTCACACATGATAGATTGGGGGAGGGGAATGTTAATTTTGTGTACAGAAGAGATGTGAAATCCTTACACAACAAACACAGGGGAAATAGCTTTAACTGCCCAAACCCTGACTACCTAAAAGACTGGACAAGTTGTAAAGACAGGTATGTACTAAAAGATAACTGTTGGTTGCACTGTATGCATTTTTGTAACATGACTGTGGTTTTGGGGCCTCATTTCATGGGGGAATTAGCACTTTGTTGAAGTTGGATGTATTGGGCCAAAAGGTGGAGATATTGCAGCCTAGCTGTCAGGGACAACACAGAATGCCAACAGCCATTTTAAGGGCGATCACAGGAGAAGAAAAACACTGTTTCCCGCCATTATGGTCTGCCTGCACACATTATTTGTCTGAGCAGTGGGGGAAAAAGTGACAGAATTAAGAGCACATTGCTTGTTTGAGAGAAGGGGGATATCCAGCACGCATGTCATTAGATCAACTATCACTTGTCGCAACAGTGAATTCCAATAGCTGGTGATATCCAGCACGCATGTCATTAGATAAACTATCACTTGTCGCAACAGTGAATTCCAATAGCTGGTGATATCCAGCACGCATGTCATTAGATAAACTATCACTTGTCGCAGCAGTGAATTCCAAAAGTTGGTGAAATCCCAGCACACATGTCGTTGAATAAAATATTCATGGGAATGGTGATCCAACAGTTGGTAATATCCTATCACACATGTCAGTGTAAAAACTATTTGTGGGAGATGTGACATTCAGCAGTTGGTGATCTCCAGCACACATGTCAGTGTATAAACTATTTGTGGGAGAGGTGACATTCAGCAGTTAGTGATCTCCAGCACACATGTTATTGTATAAACTAATTGTGGGAACGGTGACATTCAGCAATTAGTGATCTCCAGCACACATGTCATTGCATAAACTATTTGTGGGAGAGGTGACATTCAGCAATTAGTGATCTCCCGCACACATGTCATTGTATAAACTATTTGTGGGAGAGGTGACATTCAGCAATTGGTGATCTCCCATACACATGTCATTGTATAAACTATTTGTGGGAGAGGTGACATTCAGCAATTGTTGATCTCCCACACACATGTCATTGTATAAACTATTTGTGGGAGAGGTGACATTCAGCAATTGTTGATCTCCAGAACATATGTCAGTGTATAAACTATTTGTGGGAGATGTGACATTCAGCAATTGGTGATCTCCTGCACACATGTCATTGCATAAACTATTTGTGGAAGAGGTGACATTCAGCAATTGTTGATCTCCAGCACACATGTCATTGCATAAACTATTTGTGGGAGAGGTGACATTCAGCAATTAGTGATCTCCCGCACACATGTCAGTGTATAAACTATTTGTGGGAGAGGTGACATTCAGCAATTGGTGATCTCCCGCACACATGTCATTGTATAAACCATTTGTGGGAGAGGTGACATTCAGCAATTAGTGATCTCCCGCACACATGTCAGTGTATAAACTATTTGTGGGAGAGGTGACATTCAGCAATTGGTGATCTCCAGCACACATGTCATTGTATAAACAGCTCATTGGAATGCAACAGTTGGTGAGATCCCAGCACCCATGTCTTTGGATAAAGTATTCATGGGAAGAGTGATATCCAACAGTTTGTCATATCCATGGCCACAGTTGTATGCTCAGTTCTTTTCTTTAGACAAACTGTCACATGCGCTAGTTGGTGATATCCCAGACCACAGTTGTATTCTCAGTTCTTGTCATTAGACAAACTGTCAGATGCGCTAGTTAGTGATATCTCAGACCACAGTTGTATGCTCAGTTCTTGTCATTAGACAAACTGTCACATGCGCTAGTTGGTGATATCCCAGACCACTGTTGTATGCTCAGTTCTTGTCATTAGACAAACTGTCAGATGCACTAGTTGGTGATATCCCAGACCACAGTTGTATTCTCAGTTCTTGTCATTAGACAAACTGTCAGATGCACTAGTTGGTGATATCCCAGACCACAGTTGTATGTTCAGTTCTTGTCATTAGACAAACTGTCAGATGCACTAGTTGGTGATATCCCAGACCACTGTTGTATGCTCAGTTCTTGTCATTAGACAAACAGTCACATGCACTAGTTGGTGATATCCCAGACCACTGTTGTATGCTCAGTTCTTGTCATTAGACAAACTGTCAGATGCGCTAGTTAGTGATATCTCAGACCACAGTTGTATGCTCAGTTCTTGTCATTAGACAAACTGTCAGATGCGCTAGTTGGTGATATCCCAGACCACTGTTGTATGCTCAGTTCTTGTCATTAGACAAACTGTCAGATGCACTAGTTGGTGATATCCCAGACCACTGTTGTATGTTCAGTTCTTGTCATTAGACAAACTGTCACATGCACTAGTTGGTGATATCCCAGACCACTGTTGTATGCTCAGTTCTTGTCATTAGACAAACTGTCAGATGCACTAGTTGGTGATATCCCAGACCACAGTTGTATGTTCAGTTCTTGTCATTAGACAAACTGTCACATGCACTAGATGGTGATATCCCAGACCACTGTTGTATGCTCAGTTCTTGTCATTAGACAAACTGTCAGATGCACAAGTTGGTGATGTCCCAGACCATAGTTGTATGCTCAGTTCTTGTCATTAGACAAACTATCAGATGCACTAGTTGGTGATATCCCAGATCACAGTTGTATGCACAGTTCTTGTCATTAGACAAACTGTCACATACACTAGTTGGTGATATCCCAGACAAGAGTTGTATGCTCAGTTCTTGTTATTAGACAAACTGTCAGATTCACTAGTTGGTGATATCCCAGACCATAGTTGTATGCTCAGTTCTTGTCATTAGACAAACTGTCAGATGCACTAGTTGGTGATATCCCAGACCACTGTTGTATGCTCAGTTCTTGTCATTAGACAAACTGTCACATGCGCTAGTTGGTGATATCCCAGACCATAGTTGAATGCTCAGTTCTTGTCATTAGACAAACTGTCAGATGCACTAGTTGGTGATATCCCAGATCACAGTTGTATGCACAGTTCTTGTCATTAGACAAACTGCCACATACACTAGTTGGTGATATCCCAGACAAGAGTTGTATGCTCAGTTGTTGTCATTAGACAAACTGTCACATGCGCTAGTTGGTGATATCCCAGACCACAGTTGTATTCTCAGTTCTTGTCATTAGACAAACTGTCACATGCGCTAGTTGGTGATATCCCAGACCACAGTTGTATTCTCAGTTCTTGTCATTAGACAAACTGTCACATGCGCTAGTTGGTGATATCCCAGACCATAGTTGAATGCTCAGTTCTTGTCATTAGACAAACTGTCAGATGCACTAGTTGGTGATATCCCAGACAAGAGTTGTATGCTCAGTTCTTGTCATTAGACAAACTGTCAGATGCACTAGTTGGTGATATCCCAGACCATAGTTGTATGCTCAGTTCTTGTCATTAGACAAACTGTCAGATGCACTAGTTGGTGATATCCCAGACCACTGTTGTATGCTCAGTTCTTGTCATTAGACAAACTGTCAGATGCACTAGTTGGTGATATCCCAGACCATAGTTGTATGCTCAGTTCTTGTCATTAGACAAACTGTCAGATGCGCTAGTTGGTGATATCCCAGACCACTGTTGTATGTTCAGTTCTTGTCATTAGACAAACTGTCACATGCACTAGTTGGTGATATCCCAGACCACTGTTGTATGCTCAGTTCTTGTCATTAGACAAACTGTCAGATGCACTAGTTGGTGATATCCCAGACCACAGTTGTATGTTCAGTTCTTGTCATTAGACAAACTGTCACATGCACTAGTTGGTGATATCCCAGACCACTGTTGTATGCTCAGTTCTTGTCATTAGACAAACTGTCAGATGCACAAGTCGGTGATGTCCCATGTCCCAGACCATAGTTGTATGCTCAGTTCTTGTCATTAGACAAACTATCAGATGCACTAGTTGGTGATATCCCAGATCACAGTTGTATGCACAGTTCTTGTCATTAGACAAACTGTCACATACACTAGTTGGTGATATCCCAGACAAGAGTTGTATGCTCAGTTCTTGTTATTAGACAAACTGTCAGATTCACTAGTTGGTGATATCACAGACCATAGTTGTATGCTCAGTTCTTGTCATTAGACAAACTGTCAGATGCACTAGTTGGTGATATCCCAGACCACTGTTGTATGCTCAGTTCTTGTCATTAGACAAACTGTCACATGCGCTAGTTGGTGATATCCCAGACCATAGTTGAATGCTCAGTTCTTGTCATTAGACAAACTGTCAGATGCACTAGTTGGTGATATCCCAGATCACAGTTGTATGCACAGTTCTTGTCATTAGACAAACTGTCACATACACTAGTTGGTGATATCCCAGACAAGAGTTGTATGCTCAGTTGTTGTCATTAGACAAACTGTCACATGCGCTAGTTGGTGATATCCCAGATTCTCACCACAGTTGTATTCCCTCAGTTTCTTGTCATTAGACAAACTGTCACATGCGCTAGTTGGTGAGTTGGTGATATCCCAGACCACAGTTGTATTCTCAGTTCTTGGTCATTAGACAAACTGTCACATGCGCTAGTTGGTGATATCCCAGACCACAGTTGTATTCTCAGTTCTTGTCATTAGACAAACTGTCACATGCACTAGTTGGTGATATCCCAGACACACAGTTGTATCAGATCTCAGTATTCTTGTCATTAGACAAACTGTCAGATGCACTAGTTGGTGATATCCCAGATCACAGTTGTATGCACAGTTCTTGTCATTAGACAAACTGTCACATCACTAGTTGGTGATATCCCAGACAAGAGTTGTACTAGTCATTTGGTGAGTTGGTGATCCCAGACCAGAGTTGTATGCTCAGTTCTTGTCATTAGACAAACTGTCACATGCGCTAACAGTTGTATTCTCAGTTCTTGTCATTAGACAAACTGTCACATGCGCTAGTTGGTGATATCCCAGACCACTAGTTGTATGCTCAGTTGATCACTGTCAAGTCATTAGACAAACTGTCACATGCACTAGTTGGTGATATCCCAGACCATAGTTGAATGCTCAGTTCTTGTCATTAGACAAACTGTCAGATGCACTAGTTGGTGATATCCCAGACCACAGTTGTATGCCAGTTCTGTCATTAGACAAACTGTCAGATACACTAGTTGGTGATATCAGAGTTGTGTATGCTCAGTTCTTGTCATTAGACAAACTGTCAGATGCACTAGTTGGTGATATCCCAGACCATAGTTGTATGCTCAGTTCTTGTCATTAGACAAACTGTCAGATGCACTAGTTGGTGACTGTATGTATTTGTTCAGTTCTTGTCATTAGACAGAAAACTGTCACTGCACTAGTTGGTGATATCCCAGACACTGTTGTATGCTCAGTTTCTTGTCATTAGACAAACTGTCAGATGCACTAGTTGGTGATATCCCAGACCACAGTTGTATGTTCAGTTCTTGTCATTAGACAAACTGTCACATGCACTAGTTGGTGATATCCCAGACCCATGTTGTATGCTCAGTTCTTGTCATTAGACAAACTGTCAGATGCACAAGTTGGTGATATCCCAGACCATAGTTGTATGCTCAGTTCTTGTCATTAGACAAACTGTCAGATGCACTAGTTGGTGATATCCCAGATCACAGTTGTATGCAGACCAGTTCTTGTCATTAGACAAACTGTCACATACACTAGTTTGGTGATATCCCAGACAAGAGTTTGTATGCTCAGTTCTTGTTATTAGACAAACTGTCAGATGCACTAGTTGGTGATATCCCAGACCATAGTTGTATGCTCAGTTCTTGTCATTAGACAAACTGTCAGATGCACTAGTTGGTGATATCCCAGACCACAGTTGTATTCTCAGTTCTTGTCATTAGACAAACTGTCACATGCGCTAGTTGGTGATATCCCAGACCATAGTTTAATGCTCAGTTCTTGTAATTAGACAAACTGTCAGATGCACTAGTTGGTGATATCCCAGACCATAGTTGTATGCTCAGTTCTTGTCATTAGACAAACTGTCACATGCACAGTAGTTGGTGATATCCCAGACCAATAGTTGTATGCTCAGTTCTTGTCATTAGACAAACTGTCACATGCGCTAGTTGGTGATTCTTGTCCCAGACCACAGTTGTATGCCTCAGTTCTTGTCATTAGACAAACTGTCACATGCGCTAGTTGGTGATATCCCAGACCACAGTTGTATTCTCAGTTCTTGTCATTAGACAAACTGTCACATGCGCTAGTTGGTGATATTCCAGACCACAGTTGTATGCTCAGTTCTTGTCATTAGACAAACTGTCAGATGCACTAGTTGGTGATATCCCAGACCATAGTTGTATGCTCAGTTCTTGTCATTAGACAAACTGTCAGATGCACTAGTTGGTGATATCCCAGACCATAGTTGTATGCTCAGTTCTTGTCATTAGACAAACTGTCAGATGCACTAGTTGGTGATATCCCAGACCACAGTTGTATTCTCAGTTCTTGTCATTAGACAAACTGTCACATGCGCTAGTTGGTGATATCCCAGACCATAGTTTAATGCTCAGTTCTTGTATTGACACAACTGTCAGATGCACTAGTTGGTGATGTATAGTTGTATGTTCACAAAGGACGAACTGTCAATTGCACTAGTTGGTGATATCCCAGACCATGAATTGTATGCTCACAGTTCTTGCTTAGACAAACTGTCAGATTCCCTAGTTGGTGATATCCCAGACCATAGTTGTATGCCTCAGTTCTTGTCATTAGACAAACTGTCAGATGCACTAGTTGGTGATATTCCCAGACCCACAGTTGTATGCTCACGTTCTTGTCATTAGACAAACTGTCAGATGAAAACTAGTTGGTGATATGGAACCAAGTTGTTGTATGCTCAGTTCTTGTATTAGACAAACTGTCATGCACTAGTTGGTGATATCCCAGACCATAAATGCTGGTTTTTGTCATTAGACAAACTGTCAGATGCACTAGTTGGTGATATACCCAGACCATAGTTGTATGCTCAGTTCTGTGTCATTAGACAAACTGTCAGATGCACTAGTTGGTGATATCAGACCACAGTTCGTTGCTCAGTTCTTGTCATTAGACAAACTGTCATGCACTAGTTGGTGATATCCAGACCATAGTTGTATGCTCATTTCTTGTCATTAGACAAACTGTCAGATGCACTAGTTGGTGATATCCCCAACCATAGTTGTTAGTCTCAGTTCTTGTCATTAGACCAAACTGTCAGATGCATAGGTTTGGTGAAATCTCGGCATAGTTGTATGTCACGTTCTTGTCATTAGACACCGCCAGTGCGTCTAGTTGTGATATCCAGAGTAGAAATGTAATTGTGGTCAGAGACAAAGCTAGAGTGCTCTGACATCCCAGTGAATAGATGTAGTCAACGGCGTCAGTTCTTGTCATTACCATTGGACTGTCAGACTGCACTAGTAACATGCTGAAGCACAGTTTAAAACAAATGGGATTGTTCTGAGGCTTTAGATGTTAGCTCAACTGCTCAGTTCATTGGATATCCTGACCACAGTTGTTGTTCTTGTCAGATAGACAAACTGTCAGATGCATCCTACTGAAGTTCCCAGGGACTAACTGTAATGACTCAGTTTTGTCATTAGACAAACTTTATGCATCATGTGTTGAAAGTCAGGCCATGTTAAATCTGTAAACGATGCTGGTTGCTATATGTGGTCAGGACCCTTAGGAGCAAGTGATTAAATATGAGTTTAGATCTATCAACGGTCAACACTGGAGTGTGTGCTCTTGACCATCAGACACTACCAGTATTTGTGGAACATGTAACACAAGGTGCTGTTTGACGAGACCAGAGTTGTTTTGTGTGCTGAAGATTGGTTTATCATTGGGAATGGGAGTTGTGTTCTGAGTGTGTTAATGTAGCTTCTTATTGTGTCATGCTCATTACAGTCAACTGATATGATATTTTCAAACATTATTTGGACGACAGTTTGTTGCAGGGAAAATGCTGCGAACATAATCAGCCACTGTATGTTGCTTCTATTGATCTTACCTAGGCATTTGATTTGGTTAATTGAAAAAGTCTGTTTAACACACTGCAGAAGATTGGGTGTACACCTACCATACTGAGCATTATTGAGTCATTCCACACAGGTATGAAAGGTACAGTCAACTTTGAGGGTGTAACATCAGAGGAGTTTGTAATCAAAAATGGAGTGAAGCAGGGTTGTGTACTTGCTCCTGCTCTCTTTGAAATATACTTCTCACTTCTTTTGACACATGCCTTTCGAGATCTGGAGGGTGGTTTATTCATTTATTCTCGATCTGACGGCAGCCTTTACAATGCTCACAGGATGAAGGCCAAAGCCAGGATAAGAAAGGTAATTTTTAGAAAGCTGCTGTTTGCAGATGATGCCACAATAACCACCCACTCAGAGGAGGAGCTGCAATGTTTACTGTCTGCCTTTGCTGATGCATGTTTACTATCTGCCTTTGCTGATGCATGCTGTGAATTTGAACTAACCGTCAGCAAAAAAAAGGAGACAAAGGGTAATGTGCAAGGTGGTAATGACAGACCTACAGTCTACATTGACGGTGAAACACTTGAGACAGTAGACCATTTTACTTATCTGGGTTTCACAGTGAATAACAAACTATTGCTAGGACCAAGAAATCAACATCAGGATAGGTTAGGCAGCAACAACAATGAGTAGATTGACAAAAAAAAGTTTGGGAGGACAGAAAGCTCACGATTAAAACAAAAACTCTTGTCTATCAGGCTTGTGATCTCAGCACTCTGCTTTATGGCAGTGAAATTTGGTCAACTTATTCGCACCAGGAGAGACGGCTAAATAGCTTTCCAATGCGATGCCTAAGAAGAATACTTGGCATTAAGTAGCAGGACAAAATCACAAACGCTGAGGTACTGGAAAGAGTAGGTACTACAACAGTCTTCTCAATGCTCAGTCTACAAAGGCTCAGGTGGCTGGGTCACACATGGAGAATAGAGGATGGAAGAGCCCCTAAGTACATCCTTTATGGTGAATTAAAGACGGGTAGAATTTGTTGAGGCCGACCTCTACTACAGTATAAAGATGGGTGCAAGCGGGACATGAATGATACGGCATTGAAGTGGATGCATGGGAACAAAATGCCTTTGACCGTGTTGTGTGGAGAGGGCATATTAGGAAGGGAATGAGCGTGAAGGAAGAAATGATTGCAGAAAAGATAAGAGCTGAGCATCTGAAAAGAAATGGATTAAACACAAATGTTGACAACAATGGTCCTGAAATCCTATGCTATCATTGTGAAATTTGTAACAGAAAGTATCCTGAACGGCAATCATAGAAAGAAGCAGAAAGATAGAAGAAAACACACATTTATTTATCATTGTGGAAAACTTTTCTTGACACAGGCAGGTCTTGCTAGTCGCACTCGCCATACCATGAGCTATGAGTCCCATGCCTTCTCATAGCGCAGTGTAACACTGTCGTCTGCAAAGACGGAAAGGTGCCAATCAGTTAAACAAACAGTATGTAACTCATTGACTGATGTATAGTTAACAATGTAAAACACAATATGTAACTGGAAAATCCCTCCTAGTATACCTATTATCAGTCAAGAAACAAATGATGAAATTTAAAAATATCAAATGTCAATTGACATGATATAACTTACTGACTTATGTATAGTTGACAATGACAAAAACGCAGGATGCACTCTACTGACGTATGTTTAGTTTTACTGTGTTAAAAACATAGTGTGTAAGTTACTGACATTTAGTTTTCCCTCATAGTTTACCTGTTAGTAGTCAAGAGAGAGGTGATGTAGTTAACAATGTCAGATACAGTTTCAGCTGCTGTGTTCGCAGAGAATGGTGCTGCCTGCAAATGGTGCTGCTATGATGCCACGGACCCCAACAACCCTGGGCCCTGTGTGGTGCAAACCAATGAGACAGTTAATGAAGGTAGACCATGCTACCTTGGCTACTGCGAGGTATATATACTGCTGTCACTGTTGATCAAACACTTTGTGTTGAGACATGTGATGGTAATCAGACACTTTCTGTTTGTGTTGTGACATGTGATGGTGGTCAGACACTTTCTGTTTGTGTTGTGACATGTGATGGTGATCAGACACTTTCTGTTTGTGTTGTGACATGTGATGGTGGTCAGACACTTTCTGTTTGTGTTGTGACATGTGATGGTGATCAGACACTTTCTGTTTGTGTTGTGACATATGATGGTGGTCAGACACTTTCTGTTTGTGTTGAGACATGTGATGTTAATCAGACACTTTGTGTTGTGGCATATGATGGTGATCAGATACTTTCTGTTTGTGTTGTGACATGTGATGGTGATCACACACTTTCTGTTTCTATTGTGACATGTGATGTTAATCAGACACTTTCTGTTTGTGTTGTAACACATGGTGGTGATCACACACCCTCTGTTTGTGTTGTGACACATAATGGTGATCACACACCCTCAGTGTTGTGACACGTGATGGGGATCAGACACCCTCTGTTTGTGTTGTGACATGTGATGGTGATCAGACACTCTCTTGTGTTGTGACATTTTATATTCATATCAACGGGTCTCATATCTATTGTGCCATGTCCTGTGCCAACAAAAAATGCCCTCTGTTTGTGTCTGTGAACACATGTGTGGTGATGACATACCCATATTTTTTATGAGCATGTGATGGTGATCACACAGAAAGGAGTTTGTAAGGCACACTATGTATCATCCATTCTTAGACTTTCCGTTTGTTACCTCCCACCATTCAGCGTGATCAAAGCACTTTCTGTTTGTGTTGTGACATGTGGAATGGGTATATACACATGCACGTTTGCCTTTTGTGACATGTATGGTGACAATGAACACTTTATGTTCAACGTTGTGAGAATGTGCATGGAGATCACAGACCCTCAGTGTTGTGACATGTGAGAGAGCATAATACCAAGCCCTCTGTTAGTGTTATTGTAGCAGTCTGATGGTGATCTGGCACAATGTCATGCTGTGTTGTGACAGTCTGATGGGATAAAGACATTTAATGTCATGCTGTTGTACAGTCGTGATCAATGGGGCTGTGCAGAATGTTTTGCTGAGGTAACACTCTCTGAATGGAACTTGCAGAAATGTCATGCTGGATCAAATACACTCTGAATGTGTTGTGCACAACGTGTTGCTGCATCAAACAGTCTGAATTTGACTGTTAGTGACATGTCATGGTGGATCAAACAGTCTGAATGTGGCTGACAGCACATGTCATGCTGATCAGGTAGCAGTCTGAATGGGTTGGACAGTGTTGGTCATGCAACACTCTAGCAGTTTGAATGGGCTGGCGTGATCACACACCCTGTTTAGGTTGCAGTCTGAATGGGTGGCAGTACTGTCTGTTGCTGTGAGGTAGCAGTCTGAATGGGGCTGGCTCTGATGTCATTTTGCAGGTAGCAGTCTGAATGGAACTGGCTTATTGATGTCATGCTGACATGGTAGCAGTCTGAATGGTACTGGCATAGTATTGTCATGTTGGAGGTAGCAGTCTGAATGGGGCTGGCAGTGTCTGTGACATACCCATGCTGCATGGTAGCAGTATGAATTGGACTGGCAGAAAGGAGTGTTGTAATGCTGGAGGTATCATCCAGTTCTGAGACTGGGGCTGGCAGAAATTCAGCGTTTTCTAAACATGGGTAGCAGTCTAAACACAATGTGGAACAGGCAATGTCATGCTAAAGGTAGCAGTCTGAATGGAACAATGCAGCAATGTCATGTTGGAGGTAAGCATGTGTCTGAATGGGTCTGGCAGCACAGTCAAACAGAAGTTAGAGAGCATAAATGGGACTGGCAGTAATGTCATGCTGGAGGTAGCAGTCTGAATGGGACTGGCAGTGATGTCATGCTGCAGGTAGCAGTCTGAATGGAACTGGCAGTAATGTCATGCTGAAGGTAGCAGTCTGAATGGGGCTGGCAGTAATGTCATGCTGGAGGTAGCAGTCTGAATGGGGCTGGCAGTAATCTCATGCTGGAGGTAGCAGTCTGAATGGGACTGGCAGCAATGTCATGCTGAAGGTAGCAGTCTGAATGGGACTGGCAGTAATGTCATGCTGGAGGTAGCAGTCTGAATGGGGCTGGCAGTGATGTCATGCTGCAGGTAGCAGTCTGAATGGGGCTGGCAGTAATGTCATGCTGGAGGTAGCAGTCTGAATGGGACTGGCAGTAATGTCATGCTGGAGGTAGCAGTCTGAATGGGACTGGCAGTGATGTCATGCTGAAGGTAGCAGTCTGAATGGGACTGGTAGTGATGTCATGCTGAAGGTAGCAGTCTGAATGGGACTGGCAGTAATGTCATGCTGGAGGTAGCAGTCTGAATGGGACTGGCAGTAATGTCATGCTGGAGGTAGCAGTCTGAATGGGACTGGCAGTGATGTCATGCTGAAGGTAGCAGTCTGAATGGGACTGGCAGTAATGTCATGCTGGAGGTAGCAGTCTGAATGGAACTGGCAGTAATGTCATGCTGGAGGTAGCAGTCTGAATGGAACTGGCAGTAATGTCATGCTGGAGGTAGCAGTCTGAATGGGACTGGCAGTGATGTCATGCTGAAGGTAGCAGTCTGAATGGGGCTGGCAGTAATGTCATGCTGGAGGTAGCAGTCTGAATGGGACTTTCAGAAATGTCATGCTGGTTGCTTGCTTACAGCCTCAAAATCACAGTCTAATCTGTAGGTTTTTTTTTTTTTTTTTTCAAATAACTTTTGCTCCCAGGTTGACCCCGCCTACAGTGGGTACTCAGTAAATTCCTGGGAAGTGAAGGTGGCTGTCATGTTTTATTTACCAAGGTTGTATCATCATGGGAGGCTTCTGGCTAACGTTGTTTATCGGTTTCCCATGCACCGTGATATAGTATGTGACCAACATTCCATCCTCACTAACTGTTTGTTCTATTGACATTCTGAGTACACTAAGTGTAAACTCCGAAGGACAGTTCTGATTGGACTTTAGACTTGTTCCACAACTGTAGCCGTGTGTGCATATCAGTTTTACAGATCTGGCTTAATTGTTTGCAGACATTAGGTTCTTGCCTATCGGGCAGATGGATTCCAACTGTAGAGGAAATGTCCTGAATAAGTCAGCTTTTATGACAGGTCAGTTAGGGAGAAGGGGGGGGGGGGGGGTGGCGAGGCAGTCCCCCCCCCCACCCCCACCCCTTCCCCAATGGGACCCCAGAACCCACACAGGGAATCTACTTGTTCTGTCTACACATTACATAAATGACTTGTTCTTGAGTTAACGATGTATGTTCTGTCTACACATTACATAAATGACTTGTTCTTGAGTTAACGATGTTTGTTTTGTCTACACATTACATAAATGACTTGTTCTTGAGTTAACGATGTATGTTCTGTCTACACATTACATATATGACTTGTTCTTGAGCTAAGGATGTTTGTTCTGTCTACACATTACATATATGACTTGTTCTTGAGTTAACGATGTTTGTTCTGTCTACACATTACATATATGACTTGTTCTTGAGTTAACGATGTTTGTTCTGTCTACACATTACATTACATATATGTCTACACAATACTGACTGTTCTTGAGTTAACGATGTTTGTTTTGTCTACACATTACATATATGACTTGTTCTTGAGTTAACGATGTTTGTTTTGTCTACACATTACATAAATGACTCGTTCTTGAGTTAACAATGTTTGTTTTGTCTACTCATTACATAAATGACTTGTTCTTGAGTTAACGATGTTTGTTATGTCTACACATTACATATATGACTTGTTCTTGAGTTAACGATGTTTGTTATGTCTACACATTACATATATGACTTGTTCTTGAGTTAACGATGTTTGTTCTGTTACAGTTAATGTGGTGATGTCTTGTAACGATTGTCTACACATTACATATATGACTTGTTCTTGAAGTTAACGATGTTTGTTGACTTGTCTACACATTACATATATGACTTGTTCTTGAGCTAACGATGTTTGTTCTGTCTACACATTACATGTGTGACTTGTTCTTGAACTAAGGATGTTTGTTCTGTCTACACATTACATAAATGACTTGTTCTTGAGTTAACGATGTTTGTTCTGTCTACACATTACATATATGACTTATTCTTGAGGTAACGATGTTTGTTCTGTCTACACATTACATATATGACTTGTTCTTGAGTTAACGATGTTTGTTCTGTCTACACATTACATATATGACTTGTTCTTGAGTTAACAATGTTTGTTCTGTCTACATATTACATATATGACTTGTTCTTGAGCTAAGGTTGTTTGTTCTGTCTACACATTACATATATGACTTGTTCTTGAACTAAGGATGTTTGTTTTGTCTACACATTACATTTATGACTTATTCTTGAGCTAAGGATGTATGTTCTGTCTACACATTCACATTACATATATGACTTATTCTTGAGCTGAGGATGTTTGTTCTGTCTACACATTACATAAATGACTTGTTCTTGAGTTAACGATGTTTGTTATGCTTCTCCATTACAGTCGGAAATGACTGGTTCTTGAGTTAACGATGTTTTGTTTTGTTACACATTACATAAATGACTTGTTCTTGAGTTAACGATGTTTGTTCTGTCTACACATTACATGTGTGACTTGTTCTTGAGGTAACGATGTTTGTTCTGTCTACACATTACATATATGACTTGTTCTTGAACTAACGATGTTTGTTCTGTCTACACATTACATGTGTGACTTGTTCTTGAACTAAAAATGTTTGTTCTGTCTACACATTACATATATGACTTGTTCTTGAGCTAACAATGTTTGTTCTGTCTACACATTACATGTGTGACTTGTTCTTGAACTAAGGATGTTTGTTCTGTCTACACATTACATTATGACTTGTTCTTGAGTTAATGATGTTTTGTTCTGTCTACACATTACATATATGACTTGTTCTTGAGTTAACGATGTTTGTTCTGTCTACACATTACATATATGACTTATTCTTGAGCTAAGGATGTTTGTTCTGTCTACACATTACATGTGTGACTTGTTCTTGAACTAAAAATTGTTTGTTCAGTCTACAC